CTTCCAGCTCCGAGGACTCCGGGATCAACGCGGTGGGGGTTCACTACATGGAGTCGTGTGACGAGGACACGGAGGGGGTGGCTGAGCTAAGCTCAGAGGAAGACTACAGCCCGGATAGCAGCTGGGAACCAGATGAATGCCCGCTCTTGTCACCGTCGCAGTGCGAAATGGAAGTGATTGAGACTATAGAAACCACTGTGTGATCCAACAAGTTGGTACCAGATCCATCCAGTTCCCACTCAGTAACGTTGCTTTTGTAGTATTTATATTTTCTGTTTTTTTCTGACAATCTGTTTTTTCCAGTGCACTTGATATTTCAGATTTCTCATGGGAGCGCGGTCACGGGACTTGCATATTGGTGAACTAGCAGCAGCCTGAGCAATTTTAACACATTCTCAGCCTGATCAGATCTCCCACGTCTGCACGTAAGGTAGTGATAAATCTTAAGACTTTTATAGCTGAAATAGGCCCTTTTCTTGGTCTGGGTTACGTCATATACTACTTCTCATACAAGGATGTGCCACTCCAGATGTTTCCATCCGTCAGGATGTTTGCAGTGGGCCTTCAAAGCACAGAGGGTGAGCTGGGGCAGCACGCCTGCAAGCAGCAAAACCAAGTTGCCCTTAGTCTTTCTCAAACAGCTACAGGAGGCGCGGTGACAAGAGGCTCTTTCCGTCTCTCCCTGTCCTTGCGCATCGTCCGTCCTTTTCTCTAGTGCTGGTGCGACCCTCCTCGAAGGCCGTTGGCACCACTCTTCCAGCGGGTTGGTACGGCAGGCTAGAGAATGCACAAAGTGCCTCCAACTTTTCTCCAGGCTATGCACCGAGCATCTGCTGAGTTAGGTCAGGCTCTGAAAGCTTCTGAGAAGGCAACTGTTGCTCTGGAGGGGGATCAGTTGCCTGGATCCAGCTGGTCCCTTGTCTCCACGTGGATCTTGGGAAGAAGATCCGGCTTTTGCAGCCCGGCAGGAGGAGGAGCAGGCAGAGATGAAGTGCGGCTGACTAACCAATACCACGCTAGACTGGGGTGTGAAACGATAGGCGAAGGAAGTGACTACCTCCAAACACATGAAATCCGCCCTCGGCTTTGCCTGCTGCTTCCTCCTGTGCTGTTTGGTGCCGGACCTGTGCACTCAGGACCAAATGGCCTCAGGGCCTGCATTTGCCTGAAGAATAACAAAAATTTAAAAACAAAACAGAAGTTTATCAGCCACACCACTGTGTCGGCAGAGCTTGGGGACAGCGTGGAGGTGCCAGTGGGAGGTGGCCCACGGGCTCGGTAGCGCGCGTGCTTGTTAAAACACAGCCTAAGGTCGTTCTAGCGGAGAGAGAAAGCTTCGGCTCCCGCTCCTTTGCACTCAAGTTTAGGGGCGGATTCTGAACAGGGCTTTCCTCAAATAGCTGGTAAGGGCGAGCCGTCTCGCCGGTGGTCTGGTTTCAGCCCTGCTTGATGAAACAGAAATGTCGTTCTCAGATTTCAGTCAGCTTGAATCAGTTGGAGTCAGTAATAACTGTGTTTTCAACAGCATTACTGAATTTCTTTGTGTATTTGCTGTTTATGTTTCAAAAGTCATTGGTGAATATAAGGCTGTATAAATGTGTACAGTTTAGTGACTGATACTAGATTATAGTCCGTGTTATAGGATGGCTCATCTCGCTCACTGTATCCTGACAATGTATTACTAGTTTTATACACTTTGTAATCAGTATCTTTAGAAAACGTTTAGGCAACAGTGTGTGTATGTGCACATGCGCGTGTGCTAGGAGTTTACCATAAATGGTTATAAAGTAATACTGTACTTTTTAGACTTAACACTTTCAGACAAAAATATTAGGTTTTATAGTTTTGATGACTTACATAAAAGAGCGCAATGCTTGTCAAATGAGGAACTTGGGCCATTGCATGAACAGGTACATTCTCACAAGGCACCTGGAAACATTCTGGTTTTCTGCGGGCAGTTAAACAAAGGCCGTAGTAAAACTAAATAGGATTTATTTATTTTTTAAAGGCAGGATCGTCTTTCTTGGTAAACTAAGGTTTCTAACGACATTTTAGTGTCTTTTGACCATTCAGACACATTCCATAGGTAGAAGGAAGCATTATATATAAACCTACAGCATTTATTCATATTTAATCTTTCAATTGTAATTGGAGTGGAGAGCTGAAAAAGCTCACTCTTGTGCCTGGCCGGCCTGAGCTTTCTTCCCAGAGGCAGCTTCTCCCTCCCAGGAGGAGGGGGTGGGCTGGCAGACGCCTCCTCCCACGGGACTAGCGGCAGCGAGGCCCTTCCCAAGGACAGGGCGCTCCTCGCCAGCTCTCGCCAAGCACAGGAAAGGTCACCAGGACCCTCTGACGTGGCACAAGCTCACCTTGTTTGTAAGGAAGCGGGAGCTGTTAGGGGGCACCGGCTGGGAGCGTAGTGAAATTCAGCTGGGTATTTATGACCAAGACTTACCGTAAGATCCTGTGGTCTTGCGGGTTCGTATCACTGTCGTCAGGATACAGTCTTTCTTAACTGTAAGTAATTAGCAATATTCACAAGCTGTGAGTGTCTCCTACCCGGGATTTGTTCAGATGTCTTAAGCACAATAAGCTGCCTCTTCCTGCTGTTGTTCCTGTAAAAAAGGTCAGGGGAGCAGCCTGGCGTGGGACAGGGCTAGTTCTGGAAGGCGTTTCAGCAGCCAGCACAGTGGCAGGTTTCTCACTGTGCTCCATCACGCACCCCAGTTCAGAAACACGCTCCTCACGGAAACGTGATTTCTTTTCTTTGCACAAACACTGGCGTAGCCGTGCTGAGAGACGTGTCCTGGGCTCATTGCTCCACTCTGCCAGGGAGAGGTGTGTATATTTCCTCTTTAATAAAATACTAAACAACTGCAGTTCTGCTTGTCCTAACTAACTGTGTGTTTTCTGTACTAGAGTGAAACATTCTGATACGTCCAGCAAAGGAAGGGTCCCTTACAGCTTCAGATGGTGGCACCCGAAACACGCACCCAGTGCTAGGCAGAAAAATTTAGTAACCAGGTGGAGAGCACCAGGCTCAGCCCCACCTGGGTTTGGGCACCTGGTAAGTACTGGGGCCAGTGGGCAACCTCACAGCCCAGTTGTCCCTCGCCTCTAAAAGAGCTGCCCGAGTCACGGGGCCGGGAGGACAGCAGGAGAAGGAGCTGCAAGCCCCGGCCGACATCTGGCAGAATTCAGCTGGCTGTAGCTCCTTGACTTACCTCTCACCAGGTTCACATGTGGCTGTAGTCTGGAAACATCAGCCTGGGGCACCATTTTGTAGTTCCTAATGCTGGTGGGAAGGTGAGGAGCACACTGGGCACACTGAACCCCAGGGTGCACGGTGCCGGCACTGCTCCCCAGCCAGGTGGGCTCTGCACGACAGCTGGTGCTTCTGTGAGCCTCGGAGGCAGCAGCGCTGCCCCTTGTTCCTGCCGTTTGGCGAGATCTCTGCACGGACCCGCCGCCGGCTCTGTGTGTTGGTTCTGTGTGCCCGGAGAGCAACGCCGGCCTGGTGCTGTGTTCTTCCTGGGACCCTGAGGGCACGGTACCCCAAAACACCCAAGTGCTAGTGACAAAATGAACAGAGGGAAGAGGCGAGGTAGTGGTCACCAGATCAACGACGCACATTGTTGGGGCAGGATCTGGAGCGTGTTTCACAAGGCAGCTGTGACAGCATAGAAACACCACTGCTATTAGGCTGCAGCCGCATGAGCAGAGTGATAAAGGTGCCGCTGAGGAGGGACACTGCCCAGGCTGGTATTGTAAAACAGTGGGTTGAGCTTCGTAATGACAAAGCCCTCTGACCACCAGCACCCAACACACCATCCTCTCCCCCCTGCAGCCCCCACGGGCCTGCAGCACCTTTTTACACACACACACTCTCTCCCCACCGTCCCCTCCAACACAGGTACAAGGCAAGAGGGGAGGTTTGTGCTTTACCCGCAGTGACAAGATGCGTCTTTCTCTCCTAGAGGTCAATGGCAATCGTAGTAAGAAAAGAGCAGCCAGCAGCACTGCCAGACCAGCAGCCCTCTTACCCACTCCCCCTGTGCACAGCTCACGCAGGAAAGTTCAACCAAGGGCCTTTTTAATGGAAGTTTGTAGGAAAACATCGTGCGCAGGTTAGTTTGCTCACACACGTATCGTTTTCTGCATTCTTCAGCCTTTTCCAGGTTTGCCTGTTCTGTGCCCTTACACCCCACGGCTGCCGCCATGAGACAGCGTGCCAGGCCTTGGCAAAACGATTGCTTTTACTCGCACTATAATTAAAACTCAGGTATGGTACCCATCCCCAAAACCAACACAGCACCGTGAAACACAGGCTCTGGGCACAGGACAGGCCACACTCCTCCAGTGGAGCGGAGCCGATTTGGCAAAGTTACCGCTGCTGCCGTGAGCCTCCAGGTCAGTGCAGGTGGCCCAGTGCGGCAG